AACTATTCAGTCTCGCAGCACGGCCATTTTCTTCCTCCAACAAGTTGTGCACAGGATGGAACTTAATCCATCAAGAGACTGGACTCCACCACTTCATCCCACGCACCCCAAGTCTTCCTTTCGCAGGAGGACATGCCAGGCATGAGGCGCAATCCCCAGCTGTAGGTATAGCTGAACCTTGGTAAAAACAGGCGGAAACAGATGAGCCATAACCAAGACCAAATCCCGTGAAGAAATAGGAATTCGTTTCAAATACAAGAGTGATGCTGCTTCTTGTATATAGATCTCCATGATCTTAGCAGAAATCCACCTTCCTTTCCGACGGGTATATTCGCCATCTTCGGTCATCTGTAAATGCCATGTGGCGCCCCCTGAACGGAGGCTTCCGGGATCAAGCGCTTTCATGTCACCAAGTTTTTGAGTGGGCAATCTCAAGGCTGCAATCACTTCTCTGAATCTAGAACGAAAGGTCTGTCCTGACCAAGGCCACAGAGGCGCACTAGCCCTCAAGTTTCCAAAACAAAAATCAACAACAGCAAGCAGATCTGGTACATCAAGCTTAGCAGCTTGATGTTTCGCGCCTGTGCGCCGTGTTTTAGGTTGTTGTATTGAGAGCAGTCCAAAAGGTACTGTAAACTGAACGTCTCTTGGCAGGAGGAGGTCTGCTCGACGGGAAGCAAACAACTCACCAGGTCGAAGCAAAGCCCCCCAGCATAAAGCTAGGGAGCCAGCAAACAAGGTCCAGCCCCATGTCAAGCTTACCGTGATCATACTCAACAACACTTGCCAAGGCATCGCAAAGTGATGCGAACCGGGTTCCGCATGGAGCCTGCTAAAAGCGACATCCCATGCCCCTTGCATCAATCTTCTCAATGCAGGCTTCTTCGTGGTGAGAGTGTTGATCGTTTCGGCAAACTGATTGTACGACTTCCCTGCTTGAAACAATGCACGACCGTATCTAGCCAAGACAGCGTTTATATCGTCCACAAATTCAACATGATGCAAAAGCAAGCTTTCAAAATCAATTTCTTCATCTCTCAACCACCCCTCAAATTGAGCCCAGTATCTTTCACGCAGTCTTCCGGTGGCTGCCAGCGTCGGCCTCGTCTCCAGCAGTGGCTCATTAGCAGAACGTTCAGCTGCTCGAGCAGCTTCTGCAGCAGTGTCGGGGACCATGGCGCTCACACATGGCGCGAAGCACCCACAAAGCAAGCACCCAAGGACAGCGAGCAGGGCAGCAAGACAGCCGGGAAAGAGCGGAGCCGAGAAGAGAGAGCGGCACGAGATGGAGAATGAAGATGCCAAAAGCAAGAAGTCCAAGAGACGGCCAAAATCCAGCCAGAAATCCAAAAGCGGAAAATCCAAGAAAGAGCAGACTAGAGAGTGACCCCGGAGGGCCCTCCCCTGGAAAGCCAAGCGACGAATCGAAGTCCATAGGAGCATAGACGAAAGCTGGACATGGAGCAAGGTGTTCTGAACCGTCATAGTCAAGGCCCTGCTGGGGCGGCTGAAGGCGGTAAATGCTGCGATCACCAAAGTCAGCAATGGATGGACCGATGATAGCCAAAACAAGCCGAATCCAATTCGATGCCCACCTTCGAGTAGGTTTGAGATTTGCTATCTTCCGAAGCTCCACGTCGGAAAAGGCCCCTCCAGTGAAGCACGTCGATCTCCTTGAGATAGGCAAGATTGATGGAGGCAAGCTGTGGTGGAATCAGGGGCGAGAAGGGGCGACCAGCCGAAGTGATGGACTGCATTTTGTCCTGAAACAAGGTCTGCGGAGGATCCTCGACGAGGGAAAGAACGCAGGCCAACCCCCAGTCTCCGGCATCGAATGCACTCTGCTCTAATGCCATGACTCCAAGTGCCAAATACTCTTTGGTAGCATAGAAGTCTCCTCCGGCAGCAGCATCCATTGCATGTGCAAAAATCCACATTGTGAGACCTGCTTCCTTCTGCCCACGAAAGCCTCCGTACCTCTCTAAGTAGGTCAGGAGTGACGGTGACTTCTTCTGAATCTCCTCCTCGCTTCTGGGCAGAATTGATGAAGGGTTCAACCGCCTGAAGATCTGCTGTTGCAGGGCCAGGAAGAAACCGGATGCCTTGCCGCTAGGTCTTGCTGCAGCTTCTCTCTTTTGATAGTGCCTCTTGTGGAACTCGAGGCGGCTCCTCCAGAGTGATAGTCGAAACTGAGACCTCCTCCTTGAACTAAGTGCGATACCAGAGCATTGAGAGCCACTGCCTGATGAGAGAGGATCTGATCTGGCGTCTCCGGAGGTGCTTTCACTGGATCGTAGGGCTCGTCTGATGGCCCGAGACCAAGTCCAGAAGTCATCGGGGAGGCGCGAGTCCTCGGAGGGGGCCCCAGAAGCTGAAGAGCTTTGGATGCTGTTTTGCCCACAACTGGAGTCTGGAGGCCGAGAGAGACGGCTGGCATTTTGGGAACTATTCTGGAAGGCGCGATGGCCTGCAGCCCTGAGGCATGACCGGCAGAGCGAGTCTCGGGCAAAGGCATAGGATCTCGTCTCACTTCCCTCTCTTGGCTCTGCTGTGCTGCTGCCAAAAGGGCAACTTGAGCTGAGAGGCTGGAAATCTGCTCTGCCAACACTGCTGTAGTCAAACGTTTCGCTGTGGCCTTCTTGGGAACGGCGGCCACCTTGTGAACCGGCTCTTCTCGAGCACTGTAAAAATGTGTCCTGGCAACGGTCTCACTTTCGGCCCAAGTCATTGCTAGAGCCAACAGTTCAGCTGCTGCAGGAATTGCCTGTGGATTCGCCTCATGGAAGCCCAACACCTCTTCCAAGGAGTCAGTGATAGGGTCATAGTCCCTGAGAGCTGAAAGTATGTCATTTGAGAAGTCAATCACGGCTACTTCACTCTTGAAACCAGCAGCCACTGATGCTCCGGTGAATTCGTCCTCGAAGACCATATTGACCTCAAACACTCGAGGAGGCCCAACAAGGGCATCCTCATCAATAGGCCCCGAGGGGGACAAAAGGCTTGACTTCAAAAGGCCCACCGGAAGAGCTAGTAGCATGCCCTTCCTCCGTGCAACTAGAGGAACCACAAAGGCCTGAAGCTCAGTGCCACTCTCTGTCAAGTCCTCAGTGAGGTGAAGGACCAAAAGAGAATGATCTGAACTGGCGGCTGCAAAAACTATGGATTGCTTTTCCAGCGCCATAGTGGAGGCACCGGCACTGAAGCTCCCGCACAATAAATATGCAGTTCTGTCAATGAGGGCAGCTTATCCAACAGAACAACGTCCTGGTAGTTCAGGATGAGCTTCTCACAATCTGCCTGTGTTGCAACTCGAACCAAATCGAAGCCAACACCCTTACGAAGCACCCACTGAGTAGATCCAGCAACCAACGGCTTGTATGTGCTTGAATGCTCAGTGTGACAAGTCCAAACAGCTCTAGCCCAGAAACCTGCTCGAAATGCTTCTTTCGCTCGATCCTCTGGTGAGGCCTTCGATGAAGAAAGGTGGCGACGGGCCAAATCCAAACAAAAATCTGGAGTGTCTGGAGGACCTTCTTCAAATTCAATCACCACCGGCTTCTGCAAGTAATCAAACGGAGCTCCTGGAATATCAGCCCCGTCGACCACCAACTCCCAAGCTGTACTGCTAAAGGTTGGCGCGGAAGACGTCGACCTCTGTGATCTGTGCTCCTCTCCCCTGCTCTTCTGTCAGGTCCCGGGTGGCCAGAGTGAGCTCACGGATGGCCTGAGACAACTCCTGAAGATCTCGCCGCAACTGGAGCTGTTCACTCATGCACGTAGGCGTGAAGCCGCCTAGAAGGTGCTCGAGGTCCAGGGCCTGAAGGAGGTGGCTCGCGAGGAACCTGATGGAGGAACAAAGGGGCAATGCAAGTCCAGAAAATCCAAAAACCCAAGAGGACGCCCACGACGATACCGGTGGCCAAGCCGGCAATGAAAGGAAGTAGGGCGGAAGGGTGGCAATGGATAGGGCAAGCAAAGGAGCCAGAAAGAGAGGTGAGGACGGCAGCCCCGTCCAGGACAGCACCCCAATTAAACATACACCCTTGAGGCTTGAGGTGCCACCACGACATCAAAGTTACTGATCATACATATATTTATTTATGTACACCTGTCCAAACTGTGGGCACAACCATGCTGTTCTTGCAGGCCACGCCTTTCAACATGAAACATTTGGGGTTCTGGCGAAACAATGCAGAAAATTAGAACTTCCCCACGGTAGTTGCATCTCTGAGACTGACATCAGAATAAAGCAAGCAGGTAGTCGACACTGAATACAGCTAGAGTGTCTGCACAATTTCTACGTCTGTAGACTCTTGCTCAGTTTATGCGCACCCCTCTGCTTGGCAATATGTCCAACACACTTGACAGACATGTGACATGAAGGGTTCCCTTCGAGAAGTATCGACCGCAGGAGGCGAACCACTCAAGCCAACATAAGGAATCTTCGGTGCAAGTACCGGTACGCAGGCTTTCACAGGAAGCTAGTCCCAGGATCTCCTCAACACCCTTGGACGAAGCACTCTCCAAAAGGCTGTTAACAACCTGGCGGGCAAACTGCACTGGTACTGAGATTGCTCTGCTTGAAAAGGAGAACACCGTGCCGTGTCTTCAATCTCTTCAAAATCTTGAAAAGGAAGCTTTACAAGGAAGGGAGCACCATGCCATACCAGCCTTGTGGGCCTCGACCACAGGTAAGGTTTCCAAGAAGCATTCGACTTGGCCCTCCACGTCATCCTGACCGAAAGAGTGCGCATTTGTTTGTTGTGCCCACCACGACCCGGTGCCAACAGACACACTTCGATGTCAAGCCTCGAGTGCACTTCCGGGGAGCAACTCGTCATCATCTATCAGTGCCTCAGAAAGAGGTTCGGCGAATTGGCAGCGCGGGATCTGGAGGTGCGAGGGACATCACGTAGACAACATCCAAACATATAGCAAACAAATAGCTCTTGCACCAATAGTGTCAACTTGTAACAGTAGACTTCGTTGCACAGGCTGCGACTTCATTCCATTTGACCATTTTCTCTCCTTTGCTCCACACCTCATCAATGGCCAGCGGTGATATGGGCTCAGCCTCGCGGATTCCAAGATTGAATCCAAACTCAGCAAAGCTGAAAGACCAATACATGTGTTTCTCAGCTTTGCAAGACCTTCCGCTTGTGAACAAAAGATCCGAAAGCGGTTTGAGAATGTGCAAACCGGCAAAGATTGCCGAAGGAAAACTAGATCCAAACTGTTTAGGCTTCTGTCATCTCCAGCCACGCTGATATCAAATGTCCTTGACTTGTTGCCTCATGCTGGCTCTGCACAGCATTCTTATTGGCGTATCCAGGAAGAGCTTCCAAGCTTCCAAATACTTGCAACAAAAAACTCTTCACCGCTCCATCCTCTCTGGAGTGACAAGAGCTGCCTCAGTTGCTTCGGCCGCTTCATCATCAAGTCCGAAGGATGGTAGCGGCATGGCCGAGGCAGGATATTGGATCCCTGTCTTTGCTGGGAGCCTATCTTTGACCTGACGCAGTAATAGCATGTCTTGCACTTAGAACTAGAACTTCTCTTGCAAGGGCAGCAATTGTGGAGATGTCTATTTTCAGTGAGTAGCTAAGCAAGGTGAGAAAAATGGATGGCTGAAAGCTTTCCTGACTCAAAGGTAGCGTTTGGCTGCAGACGGCAAGTCGCAGGTGATGAGATAGCGGCGAATCAGCGACTGACAGAAGCACAAGTGAGCTCTTTGGTTGCTATCGAGAGACCTTTGGCATCTTTCACTTCCACTGGGCAAAGGGGATACGATTTTGCTGCAAATGCTCGGCCATTTTTTGGAGCGAATCGTGTCTACTGCTCTGCAAGTTAGCACCCTGAAGCTGTCAAGCGAAAACAAGCTCTTGGGCAGAAACGGAATGACAAACGATAAAAGTACCTGTCCAGAATAGCATGTCCTATTCTCGGCGCAAGGAAGAACCGGTTGTCCTGCCCGTACAGGTGTCCTATGCAGCTCGGCTCAGAAGTAGTCACCCTTGCCAAGTCCCTTGGCATTCATAGGCCTCTGCAAAATCATATCACTTGCATCAAGACAAAAGTCGGTTACTTGGCTACTTGGCCACAAACTGCTAGCCCGAGCAGAAAGCAGTGTTTCAGCACGTTTCAGCCTCTCTTCGAGCTCATCAGGTGTCATTTTCGTAGTCGCCTTACAAGCTTCCGAGTGGCCGACAGCGTCGCTCAACACGCCCAGCGCATGAGTCACTTGAGACGAGCCAAGTCAATCAAAACACATATGGCCTCATATGATACATCATATGATACATCATATGGCCCATATGGCTCTTGAGATGGCTCTGCCCTTGATTCGTTCTATGATGCTCGTCTCTTGGCGTCCCCGCGTATCTTGGCCGATGATCCGCGTCAAAGGCCACTTGAGGTGCCGCCAGTGCAAAGGGTGGCGGCTTCACCGGTTCTCGCTCCTGGACGCCAGGCAAAAGACTAGTCAAATCGGTGAGACTTACAAGTCAATCAAAAGGGGAACTACGGTAAATATATATATATATATACGTGTTCCATCATCTTTAAGATTTCAAGCTAGTAAGCTGTAGTGTGAGCTGTAAGATTGAAAATAGACTTTTTGGGGGGCATGAGAATAGACTTTACAGTTGACTCTCACAGACCCAGCCTCGATCAGGCCCTCTTTGTAGCGTTTGAAGTGCGCGTGTTCTTCTTTGATTAAATCTCTTGCCTGCAGCGAAATGCCCATTGCAAAGCAGGACGTGCTTTACAAAATATTGAGGATCAACTGTCTATCATATCATATGAACAAACTTGGTGCTTTTCCACCGGGCATTCGCTTGTTGAAAGGCCAAATTGGAAGAAACATCTCCAGCCTCATTTTTTCGCATTGCATTCAGCAATTTTGCAGAAAGCCGTACCTTCTTGGTACGGTCGTCATACTCAAACCTGCCATGTGCGAGGAAAAAAACGGCCGGGCTGGACATACATATTTTCAAACAGACATGGATCAACATCCGGATGTGACCTGAATCTTGCCAAAGGACGCCAATCCTAGCATATGTCCTTGAATCTTGCTAGAGATGGGCCCCCTGTTATGTTCGCTTGTTTGTGGCTCCCACTCAACCAGGGAAGCCCGGCTTTTCGATGCAAAACTGCCGCAGCTTCTTGCCTCATTGTGCTAGAGGAAGTCATCGTGTCCTACATCCTAGTAAGTCCTAGCAAGTGTTGTCTTCTCCACCACGCTCAAAACGTCGATTACAGTAATCAGGCATGGTAGAAGCTTCATGTGCTCCACAACAAGAAAGCCTGCTTCACAGCTTGCATGGGGGTCAATCCATAAAGAACAGCTCCCACATGTCTCTAAGCTGGCGACCAACTGTCTTTTCAAAGCCACTTCCAAAGTAATGCCCATGAACCGTCGCTAAACGTTCTAGTGGCACTCCTGCGCAAGGTTGGTGATGAAGCAAATTCTGAAAGGAATCCGTGGCCCGTCAGAAGTGGCCCGTGTCTGCACTCAAGCCGCTTCAGAGATGTGCCTACCACACCAGCAGGGTAAAGTTCCTCGGTGCAAGGAACTGCAATTGCAAAAAGATAATTATGGACGATGTTCAAACCTCCAACCAATTTCATGTTTCCACGAAAGTCATCACACACCAGGTGCCATATTTTGCAGCCTGTTTTAACCACACTCCCATCTTAAATACAGTATGTCATATGTATCGTTCCACTGATCGTGTAGGTCCGAGTCCGAGAAACCATTGAGTCGAAGAGATCCACAGTGTTGGCAGCCGCTGCCTCCTGACCCTCGATGAATTCAGGATGCTCTGTGCCAAGCACCTAAAAGTTCAACATAATTTCTTGATCGAAAAAACATCTGCTAAATCTTCCAACGAACCCATTGCACAAGCATGTCTGAAGAAGATCAATCCTCAACCAAAAATATCAAAAACTCTTTGTTGGTTAGTTCAGCAAGTTCTGCCAAGAAGCCATAGCATTGGCTGATGTGCAATCCTCCACAAAAATGTCGCATCTGCATGTTTCAGCTTGCTTTGTTTCTTTCGATCTTGTATTGAATGAGTCCCAAAAAACTGTTTGTTTGAGGCAAACTTCCAGAATGCAAAGCAGGTGAACTGCTCCTTTATGCGAAAGTTTTGCCAGACCAACTGATGTCTCCGCTCTCCATCATCCTAGATACTCACAGTGCAAACACTGCAAACGAAAGCATGAGCTCCAGACCAGGCATAGTAGCAGTACCATTGCAGCAAACAACAAAAACAACCGAATGAAATCTGCTGATCTATCTCCAGGACCCAAGTGGCAGTGCCGCTGTCGCCCGCGAGCCGATTCAAAGGCACCAATCTTTCGCCAGCAAGCTCTCGGCGCAAGCTGGCAATTTCTTGCTTCTTGTTCCTTGGGCAACTGCTTTCTTTTCGTCGAACATGAATCACCAAGTGTTTGGATCGAACATGAAGGCCGCAACAACCAATACCGTGACACCCCCTCCTCGCCATTGCGCCCACGATAATGGCTCATAAAGCTATACTCTCTCTTGCGAGACGAACCAAGTGGCAGCAGGCGACACGCAAGTGGATTTGACTCAAAACAAGCCTGCAAGGAATTCACATTACACAAGTTCTTTGTGGTAGCAGCAGTGCCTAAACTTTCTTCCAATCAAATATGTTCTCTCCAATTTCTTGGCCAGTGAAACGAAGCAGGAGTCTTCTGGCGGGCCGGACTGTTCAGCGCGCTCTGAACATGTTTCAGTTGTAGTCGTCCCCGAAGCATGTACTCCAAATATCCTGCTCTGCACATCCACAGGGTAATTGTTTTGTTGAGCACAAAGAAAATGAAAGTACAGTCAAACTCAATTGGTTCAAACGAATGCAAACAATGCGAAGTGCAACAAACCAAATGCATCCTGGCAAAAGTTGCTTGGAGTTGGTGGAGGAGCTTCGTCAGTTCGAATGAGATCACGAGGGTCCACCAGTGCCCACTTAGCGTGCCAAATGTATGTTCAAAGAGAAGCGTGCAGGTGCTTGGATTCTTTTTGTTCTCATTGCCAAGCACTAGTTTTTGGCGGCTTGTCAACGCACCCCAAGTCCCAAGAAGTTTTCTTCGCAATTGAGTCCGGGGCAGGATCAAAAAGTCGTGGCCCACGAGAAGCACAAAGAGTCGGCTCCTGACAGTGCAACTTCCCAAGCGTGTTCTCAATCTGTCTGTTCTCAACATAGGCCGAAGCAGCAAACACGCTGTTTGTCGATTTGTGGCTAAGCCAAGCATAATGATCCCACACTGAATTCCCCCTACAGGAGCACCTCTGCAATGTTTGAAAGGTTTCGCCGAAACTCTTTGGTTGTCCTGCAGGCAGGCAGTGAAGGATGGAACTCAAAGACTCAAGGACATGCATAGTACTGCACACTCCTTTTGGTGGCGATAAGAAATACGTGGTAAACCTCATTCTGTCCCACACGACCCCATTTGCAGGTGGAATACTCTGAGGCTTCTACCCACAAAACAAACGAAAGCAGGGTTGCAATGCCAACCAGAGCACCCAGCCTCAGATGAAGCAAATTCACAATATATCGTATGGCTACTAGTAGCGTCCTTGCTCCTAGTAGTATGGCCAGGAGCCCCTAGTAGCTTCTTGTTCCTAGTAGCGATGCCCTTTGTTGCTAGTAGCGTTCTTGTTCCTAGTAGCGTATCTGAGCAGAAAAGTGAATTGCAGCTGCGACCAAGCAGCGCAATCAATGCATAGAACACCGGCTGAAGGGCACCGCTACTCACGTGGATCATGCCGTCCACGGCCAACTGAGAACGAATGATGCTTGAAGTCGCTGCACTTAGCAATCCTTGTATTGCTGTTGCCTCGAAATTCTCGCTGTTCAGAAACCAGAACCTCAAATGCATCGCACATAACGCTTCTTCACACCACATGTAACACGAAGGGACAGTCTTTCCAAAGCAAGAGATTCGACACTGCAGCCCTGGTACAGTACAGGAAGAACCATCATCGCCAAACACAAGACCTGGTGAAACGTTCACGACTCCAAGGTTACGCAAAACAGTGCCTTACTAGTAGTAACAGGTGCCTTACTAGTAGTAACAAGAAGCTAGTAGAAACAAGTGCCTCGCTTCTAGTAACAAGTTTAATTAGAATTCAAATTAGCAAAGGAATCTACTAGATTGTGAAACGTTCACGACTCCAAGGTGCAAGAAAAGCTCGGAGTTGCAAAGCAATTGATCTGCAAATTCAGCGCGCGGCCGAAGTGACGAATCCAAAGAAGAAATGATAGTTTCGCTGTCCGACGCCTCGGAACTCCATGCTAAACGACATGGAGCGAACACTGCAAACACCACAAAGCCATCAGGTACAATTCTCACGGCAATAAATACAGCTGAGCCACAATTGTTGACAAAGGGGCAATGATGGTCGTACCTCTCAGGCAAATTGACGGATATGGGACATGTGCGAAGCATGTTCAGACTCCTCATGGTTCTTTCAGCAGCTTGCACACAGAACTTGGTAGCTCACCGCATCACGCAGTTGTCACAGTCGGGACAATGCGAGGAGCGGGGAGGCCTGATCCCACACTCTGTTCGTAGTTCAACATCCAACCAAATAGGTCCAAAGTTCGCACCTTACGATTCTGCATGTCCTGCACCATCGGTACCCTCGACCTGCAGATGTAATGGATGAGGAAAGCCACTAGAACCATACTTGAGAGAGGAGGGGGTGAACGAAAGGTCGCAGGCAATCACAAGTAACCCTGGTAGAAGTCCATGACGGCGTGAACCGGCGCAGGGGGGATTTGATCCAGGGGGGGGGGGCCCCCCCCGACGAACAGAATCAACTCTTACAGGACCAAACTCAATGGACAATCCCAACTCCTGATTGTAATACATTTTTGCTAAAGCAAGGAGAACTCAGGTAGCTCAAGCTACCTTTCTTGATTCAGCACGCTAACCAAGGCACTTGTCAGCTCCTGCGGCAATCTTCCACCTCCACCCCTGGCTAGAAGCAATCAAAAATGAGCCATGGACAATCATGGACAGGAGTTTCACTGCCTGCCGTCCAACGGCACCGAGTCCGTACAAAGCATATCCTCATGACAATGTATCATCGTATGCTGTCACAGCGTGATGGTTTTTCTGCAACATCACACTCAGTACCAGGCATATCCAAGCTGTTCTTGCAGCTGCTTTGCAGTCTTTGTTGCAATGACGACCTTGAAGACTACTTCACACTACAGAACTCCTGTTGATGCAAATGAGGTTTACTCCAGGATCACTGGCCTCTCGTCTCGGAATGATGCCCGGATCGGAGCAGCAAGTTGCCAGCAAGAACCCAGTGGCCATGACAAATACCTGAAAACCAGTTCCAAAGAGGATTCAAGAAAAAATCACAGAGTACTCTTGTCTACTTGGAAAGTGCATGTGTGTAATGAGGTTGTGTGCAACGTTCTGCCGGGCTTTTAGACAGGGTTCACTGTCCGCATTCCCAAACAATGCTCATTCTGCAGGCGCACAGCCAACGTTGCAAGCGGGAGAGCATAGCAGCCTTCTTTCCAAAGATGTGGAAAGACCTCCAAGTTGTTTCGTTGCCCTACACCAGAGAGTCAGTCCAAGGCTGAGGGAGGCTGACTGAGATCCTTGCCCAAATGAAGTAAAGAGAGCACGGCGCCAAAATGCAGGTCCAAACCTCACCAAGAGGCAGCTTTGCTTTTGAAGGCCAGGGCTGAGACGCCTGCATTCCGAGGCCTTTGCGCAAAGGTTTGGGACTGAGCAGTTGGGAGTGATTCCCATTTCAGTTTCACCACCTGGCCGCAACACTGTCATCTACTTTAGTAGGAACATCGTTGGTTTAAGTAATCTGCTGGCCTGTCATCATGGTGCCCTTGCAGAAAAACTTGTTCCGAGAAGGCCAAACCTTGACTCTGCAAATACACAAAAACCAAAAACCATTGTAGCACAGCACAGGACTTGAAGATATTTTTCAGGCTCCCAGCATTGTAGAGCCTCTTTTTGGGACGCTCAGCCTGCAACAGGTCTTGTGCATTCTAAGCCGCACCATAAAATAACTTGGATTTGCTGATGTACTGATGTACTAAAGCCTGAGGAATCTCATTGGCGGTGCCTCAGCAAAAGGACAGTTCTGCAATGTTCTGCAAAACCACACACGGACCGATTGCAACAAGACCTCACACAACGCACAAACAAGAAAACAAACGCTCTATCCAAATGCCTGTCAGTGGTTGCATCTCCAAGTCGATGGAATCTTTCGCACCTGTGGGTTCATAGCTCAGTCTTATGTTGAAGCCCAGTCTTATGTTGAAGCCCACTAGCTGAATCCTATTTCCAACCAAATCATCCTATCCTCACCTTCGGAGCCTTTTCCAAGAACAGACGGTGCTGCATTCGATGGTGCTGATCGATTTGCTTTGGCAGCTCCTCCCAGGACCCGTCATGACTGGTCTGAACCCCATACTTCACACCCATCGCCTTGCTTGGGACTGAATTCGTGATTCCCTCCTCAAGCCACAAGAATCAAACGGAAGCAATGGTCAGTGTTGGACGAAGCTCAAAACGGGTTCACTCAGGAACAGGCCAAAGGAAAAGTCATCCACCTCATCCTGTCAACCAGCTAGCTGCTTTGCGGCTGTTGCAATAGATAAACTACGGCCTCATACCCAGGCTGCATGGCCTGACCGCCAGTCTCTCCAAGCGTCATTGAAAGCGAAATTGAACAAAACTCGACAGGCCTCTTTCCCGTTATCACGGCTGCTTGTAGCCATCTGATACTGCCAAGATATTGCCAAATGTGGCTTTATATAATGCTTTATGGGCCAAGGTTACAAACCATGCATTCAAAGTAAATGGTTCTGAATAAGTGTTGAAATGGTTCTGAAAAAAAGAATGTCTGTCAAACAAGGATGATTCAGGCAAAGAATCAAAACTCAATCAAGTAAACTGTAAACAAACCCAATGGAACCATGATCTGTGCGACCTGATGAACCAAAGGTCCACAAAATGATCACCAACTGGCACATTCAAACCATGATCCTCGAAACGGGAAGGCTTTGAACACATAAACTGGTAGATCAAACAGGGCGACAAACACCAATCCAAAGAACACTGGTCTGCTGGCAAATCAGGCACTAACGTAACGCAGGAAAATAGAAGGAATACGCAACATGTTTGTTTTCAACTGCTAAGAATCTTGTGTGGACGCATAACTCTGCTATGGCTGTCAAAAAGGAGATTAGGTTGCGAACTATCATGTTCTTTGATGATGTGCCACGTTCGCTTCATATTTTCCAGTGTCCAGTTTCTTCCCGGTCATCCTACTCTTCGGTGGAGCGATATCTGCGGATGATATGGCCAAGAAGTTTCAATCGCTTCACTTCCAATATTTCAGACAATGGTTATTGATTTTACGTAATGGGCCTTGTGTCAGGGAACCAACCACTTCATGAGCTCTGCTCTACACAAAATCATTTGTGTTGCTTCTATCAATGAAAGTCGTATGGGGTTTTCAAGTTTTACGTAATCCTTGTCATTGGAAAACATTCAGAAGATGCTTCGCAGCCTCTGTGGGTTCCAGTGCTTCAAGGCTATAAAGAACGCGGGAAGTAATGACCGAGTTGTAGACAAAGAAGTTCTTTTTGAAACAATTCGCTTTAAAATTGCGGAAACCAGTAGGGTCCAGACCGAACGAAATGGCTTCGAACGAAAGGACGCCCGACTGCTAACCTTTTTCCGGTAGCAGATTAGCTCAAGTCCTAGTCGGCCGCGGTACACAGCGTGTCATGCCATGTGCGAAACCAAGTCCGGTGACCGGCACGAAGTTTCTCATCCGTCTTGTTTTCTTGTTGGTTTCGCACCCGGCCTAGCCTCGAAAAAGCTTACGAGCCGCAGGGCTCGCACAGGCAGGATCTCTTGGGGATTTGGGACATCCAAGAGGTCTGCTCGCTCTTCAAGAATCCTCCATTTTGGTAGACTCTTGGTTCTGAATTCAGCCAACGTCGTCCTCAGAGGGAACTCTCTCCCATAGCCTAGGATTTCTCCCAGGCGCGTGAGACTGCTCAAAGCCTCTTTGTCACCAGTAAAAAGCAGATCATCAACATGCCCCACAATGACTCCATGCAAGGCTTTGCTCTCACCTTCGCCACCTTTCCAGCGAAACCACAATGCCCCATCCAGCATGCTGCGACACCAGCCTTCTTGCCGAAGTTCACGGTCAAGACGAAGCCACCATTCACGAGGTGCGTCAGCCAGTCCAAACACGCCCTTCAGGACGCGAGCAACAGCTCCTGCTGGAATTGGGATTGTTGGTCCCTTGGACCCATCAGTTCCCTTGATGTACAAGGTGCGCTTCAGGTATGGATCACCTTTCAAAAAGGCAGCTCGCACGTCAGCACTGCGAAGGAACCAGGAAGGATTGGCACCTGCTATGCAAAACAGAAGATGTTGCGCCAGTCTGCTGCCAGTAGGAGCATCTCTTCGAAGTTCACCTTGTAGATTGGCAGCATCCTTGTACCCTGGCACGATGATCCTCGAGCTTGCTTTCAGTGGAAGTGGGCAGTCAGCTGTGCGCAAACCAGCGTTCTTGTCCGTGAGCACCAGCCTAGGACAAAGCACTCGGTCAAGTTGACCTTTTCTTTCAAGATCTTGAAGAACTGCACGGCTGTCAGCCAAGGAAAGAACTTCAATGGCATTGTTCTCAACCCATTTCTCCCACTGCTCTCTGGTCGCAACACGAAAAGCTTCGCGTGTGGCCTCATCCATCTGCGACCATCGCATCTCTTTGTGTCCTCCTCCAGCTTGAGCTTGAAGAGTCTCGCGAAGTTGAGGTTCCTCGCCCACAGGCCACATCCAGCCTGCCATCTCAAGCACCTCCCATGAGCTCCTCGATGGAAGAGACCATCTGCCATCCCATGTGCCATGGTCATGTTCTTGATGACGACCATTCATCAGATCATCTTGCGCTTCCACCATTGCTCGAAGAAGTGGATGGATGTTCGTGTCTTGCTCAGCCAGAAGAACATCAATCGTCTTGCCACCACTCAACACCAAAGGAACAAAGGTTCTTCTTTTGGCCTCTCGCTCTTCGGCAGCTCCTTCAGACAAGGCACGACGAACTGCACCCTGTGACCTCTCCATTCTCGAAGGCCTGGATTCAGCTGAAGTCGAAGGCTCTGCATTGGCGTGAGCAGTTTGAGGATCAACTGCATTCAACGCAGTCGTGCTTGGCGCTTCTTGAGGTTCTTGTTCACGCAAAGGACTCCCTTCTTCTTCCTCAGGAACAGCTGGCAGTTTCGGTGCTTCTCCTTCTGCCCCATCAGTCTGGGTAGTAGAGCTCTGTCGTGAAAAAGAGGAAGCCATAGGCATAGAGCTCTGAGAAGTGCGTCTCGAAGGAATCAATGAAGAAGCCCGAGAACCAGCCGCTGAAGAAGCTAGCAAAGGAATCATCTCACTTGCTTGAAAAGGAAAAGGATAGGTGACTGCTGGAGGTGTCTTGCCAGCATCACCTGTTCTTGGAACCAAACCGTCATGGCCAGGATGGTCTCCGCCTCCTTGGTCATCTTGGTCCTCTTCATCATTTCCACCACCATCACCGTCTCTATCGACATCAGGTTCGGTGGGATCATAGTCATCATGATCATCATGGTCATCGCCTGGCTCTGCTGGGTCTTCAGGAGGTTCATCAGGTCCTCCAGAAGCTCGGATCACCTCCGAAAGGATTTCCTCCCATTCAGCGGCTGAGAGGCGCTCCAGCGTCGAAGCAGGTCGAAGGTGCTCAATGGCGCACTTGGTCAAGTTGCCTCGGTAAGCGACATAGGCACCAGTTGGAACCTTGCCACCCTCAAGCGCCATGATCATGCCAGGACCATGCCATTGGTTCAACGCCAAACGCTTTCTTTTGGTGCCCCTGCCAGCCATCTTCTGCACCCTGTAGAAGTAGACCACATCTCCAAGTTGGAATGTTGTCCATGAGGCAGCTCTGCGTGCTCGGCTGAACTCTGCACGGCGTAGAGAAGCACTGTACTTCATCTTGATCATGGCCACTCGCGCACTCTCTTTCATTGCCATCTGCCTCGTAAAAGACGGGATGTTCTCAATCAAGGAATGAGAAGCAAGGCGCAGCCGCAGGTCATTGGGGATCACCTCACCAAGCGTCCTGGGTTGTGCTCCCAGCACAAACTGAGCTGGCGAAAAACCAGTCTGGCCTACATCAGCATTGCAGGCCTCAACAGCAGCCGCCAAGGCGCCTTGTAGATCATCTCGTCCTTGACAACTGAAGTCTTTGATCAGCTTCCATGGGCTTTCCACTGGTATGTGGTACAGGACGATGTCGTGCATGTCCATGCAGGCTTGCATCTTGTCCGAGGTGAACTCTGGGCCACAATCAGAGACAACCACCTTGGGAGCTCCCAAGATGGGGATCCATGAGCTCTGAAAGAACTTCACCACCTCATCCGCAGACTTTGCCTCCATCATCTGTGCACCCTGGTAGCCGGACACGGCGTCGATTCCACGCATGATCCAAAAGGTCGCACCACGCAAGTCTTTCACTGCCACCAAGTCCACATGAACCTGATCACCAAAATGGCGTGGTTTTGGCAAGCTTGCTGGTCGGTGAGAGGCAGGTCGACGATTCTCCATGCAGGTCTCACACTTGAGCTCTTTGGCAGCCTTGATCACCTCAGGGCATGCACCAGCAATGGCTAGGGCTTTAGCCAAGCGAAGTGGAGATCTGTGTCCAGTGTTCTGGAGAACTGCCTGCTTCTGAGCCTTCGTGGGCTGAACTGTGTCTGGAAAAGGAACATCATCCGTCAGGTCAAAGTCCTCCTCATAGGGATCTGCCAGGTCCATAGGAGGCGCATCATCACCCAGCTCAGGTCCAGCTTCAGCTGCATTGGCTTCAAAGCAGGTGTCGAAGACCTCATTGCCTTCATCCTCAAACTGTCGTTCCAAGCCACGAACGAAAGCTTTTGCCAGATCCGGTGGATAGCGACCTGCCAAGCGAGCTGTGTTTCCTCCAATCATATGTTCATGGTCGTGACTTCCATCACAAAGCATGTCACAAAGTTCACGAGCCACCATCTCAGAAGAAGTGAGGATCCAAGTTCGCTTCTTATGCAAGCCACCTCTAGGACCTCTAAGTCCAAAACGGCATTGGTCTATCTCCACCAGATGCAAACCAGGTTCTTCCAGTAGCTTCTTCAAACTGGCTACTGACTCCCATGCCAAGCTGCGAGAGGGGTTTTCCATTTTCCATGATGAAGTGTTTCTTCCGCCTCATCTGCTTACGAGCTAAGGCCACTGCGAAGTTCACCAACTTCACATGCTTCTTTCTACGCCACTTCAGCAAGGCGGCACGATGTCGATCACGAGCACGTAGGGCATGCAAAGGTGACCATGGACCACATGGGAAGGCAATGACTTGACAGTAAGGATCATCATCCTCCACCTGCCAAAAGGCTCTCCTCTCGCGACTGGGCCGGAAGAAGTCAAAGCCTGTGGCTAAGGTCACGCTTTCCATCGTGCTGTGGCCACGAAGCTCGGCCTGTTTCTTCACCTGTTCAGAGTCCGCGAAGGTCTCACCAACCAAGGGAAGTTGTCCAGCTGCATTGAAGTTGGTCTCCATGGCCTTTCTGTAGGCGAAGTTCTGATACTCAGGCAAGGGCGGCATCTTCACTTCAACAACGAAGGGCTCCTTGATGCCCTCAATGATTTCCATCTTGAGGTTATACTCAGAAGCCTCCAAGATCTCATGCACTTCATTGAAGTCGATGGAGAGAGCTTCATGCAACCTGCGAAGATGAAGGAAACCTTGATGAACAG